CTTGTATATTGATGTTAGATATGTTGAACTAGATACATTTGGTTATGATTCGGGATTATGTAATTGATTATCAGAATTTATTGTTCTGGTATAACTTATGTTTTGAGATTGTGGATATTGGCTTATATCTTGTTTGTTGTTATGTGTATGTTACTCAGCTTAAGTTGTGTCTTAAGCTATGTGAAAATGATTGTTTGATGTTGAGTAATGCCCGGAAAAAGGTTTTTAATTAGATAATGAATTTCAAAAAATTTATTCTTGTTTTTGAAAATTCGGTATATTTCTTTTATAAAAAAAAAAAAACAACAACGGTGCATTACAGTGCCCCTGCGCCGGTGAAGTCGTGTCAGCAGTGTTCTCGCGTGTCCGTGAGCTGTCGCGCCAATTGACCCTGACTACGGGTGAGCCGGGTCGCACCTAGCCATTGAGCGACCGACTGGTTCACGAGAGAGCCGTCGGTCCAATCCAGCCGAATCGGTCCGGGCAAGCCGGGCGGTTCGAGATCTTCCAGTTCGAGCGTGAGTCGAGATTTAAGCATTTTCCGAGCTGAGTCAGTCCAAGATTAAGCCAAAAATTAGTTTCCAGCCGAGTCAGTTAAGTTAGACATCGTAGTTTCGGACTTAGAAAATTTTATGAGAACCCTAGATAGCCTCAAGACAGAAATTTTTTAACTTAGCTCATTAATTTTCTTTATTTCAGCAAGCCGTTAAAGTCAGTCTAGAAGGGAGGTTTAAATGTTTTTAAAACCGAGCAAGCGAACCTAGTAAGATCAGTTATTAAAGAACCGAATGTTTCAAGTTGAGCTCAGTACTTAGAATATATTGCTTAAATATTTTGTAGCTTAAGGAGAGTCAAGCCTCTGCTAGCTACCCATTTCTATTCCAGCATTTGCATTCATCAACTATCAACTGGGGACCCTGTACTGGGTGCTACATTTTCTATAATCGCTCTTCCATGTTTGAGGTATGTATGTAATAGTTTTGCTCAAGCGTGGGTAATGACCTACAAAATAGGTCACCGGAAAGTAAGTCTCTTCATTAAGTTGTCACCTTCGAGGGAGGCCGTTCGTGCTTGAATGATCCCCTGAAGTGTGTACACGAGTTACCGGTCAATGTCCGGGAGTTAAGCACCAGTTCAGTTTAGTAGTAATCAGTTTTACTTGCATATGTGCTTATTACATGATGTGCCTTTACATACATACATACTACCTGATGTGTTATTACATAATGCGTGATTATATTGAATGTGGTGAACCATGAGTAGTAGTAGCCTCTTTTACTTATCTATATGTTTATTTCATGGAGTGTTATCATATTAGATGTGTACTTTAGTACTTGTTTCTGCGGAGCACGTGGATTTTTGCTCACGCCCCCCACTATCTATCACTTTCAGGTGACGGAGTCCAGTGCGGAGCGTGAAGGCAGTGGTGGTTGTTCAAGCTAGTAGATCTTTTGAAAACCATTATGATGTATTCAGTTTGGAACATGTTTAGCGAACTATGTTTATCGTTTCCGCATTATCAAACTACGAAACATTTAATTATGTATGTTGTTTTATATCGTCTATAAAGAAAGAGAAAGATATAAAGTTTAGTAGCATCTCGCGAGAAAGACAAAGTGTTTTCAAAAATAAAATTAGAGTATTCGAAAATTAAATAAGTGCTCTTATATTATAAAGCGCAAAAAATTTACTCTGATTTTAGTAATAGTAAGCGGTATGTTACAGTTGGTATCAAAGCCAGCTAGCGGTTCTGTATACTTAAAAAGTTTTCATAAAGATATCACCACACCACGTTCACACCGCGCCAACCGAGGTAAGTCACCTAACCAAGTTTCTATTATAGCAAGTGCATGATCAGTGTAGCCTGAGAACTCTAGCCAGAACTCTAGTCCGAACTCTATGAGAATTCTAAAATAAGTCGGAACTCTAGCCAAGCTAAATTAAGATTTGTGAACTCTAGTTAGGGTGCAAAGTTCTAATCAGGTTAACGACGTATAATAGCTAATAAGTCCGGGTAGGTTATGGAAACAGAAGTCACTAGCCCGAATCTACCTGGAGGCTTGAAGCCGGTAGATATCAGTACGTAGGTAAGACAGTGGACCTTTCATTGTCTGAGCTAAGTAAGCTTTGAGTTAAGTTTTAACTCCAGAGGTTACATCACTTAAGCTGGCTAGTTGCCTTCAAGCAAGTATAAGATGTAACGGTTTTTAGTGTATAAGAGTCATAAGTCCGGATAAGTCCTGGAGGCTTGAAATAAAAGCCATAGGTCTGGGAAGAACCATGGAGGCTTGAAGCTGAACAATAGCAGACGTGTTCCCCGTATGATGACCTCTACTAGTCAAAGAACAAGGAGATCAAGTTTAAAAGAAACGAGAGCGGGGATCGTATGTCGAGTCATGTTTGACACCGGGGCGACTCATTCATTCGTCTCGAAAAGGTGCCTAGAAGCCAAGAAAGAGTCCATTCGGACGCGTGATTGCCGAAGATGGTCTGTTTCACAAATTCGTGTCGAATGCCACGACTCACAAACTCAGGATTAGTGAGCTGAGAAACGAAATGTCGATAGAGCAATTTCTAGAAGCCGTGAAGAGAGAAGATTTTACAATCGACGCCTTTGACGTCAGATTAGCCTTAGGAAGACGATGGTTGCGAACATGGTTTTCAATATAAGAGGACTTATACCAGTCAAAGGAAAAAAGGGAGATCAAGATTTGTGAGACATAATCAAGAGTCGTTCGACCCGTACTAGTCAATCCTCTTAGGGACCGCAGATGCCTACCTGCGACAAGAAGCATGAGGAGCATGACTAGCAAGTCAGGATTTTTGTTATCAAGCACAGCAAAAGCATGTTGTACCCACATTCACCTTATGAGATACTGGTGCCACCCCCTATTCCCTTTTATTTTTCATCAAGCAACCTAAAGGCAACTGAAATCCATAGCGTTAGTACAGTCAAAATCCTGAAAGATAGCCAAACCTAGGAGAAAACGATTATTACCGAGACTTTGGAACAAAGAACCTGGAGACAGACACGAGCGTGATCGAAGAGAAGGAAATTTCGACCTATTGCAAAAAGTCAAAACATTCCAAGTAGTCGACTTGAAGTTCGGACACGTCAACGGGAAGTCAAGGAGTTTGATGCCTCAAGGACGACATTCATGAGATTCTTCAAAGAAGTTTTGAAGATGGCCTTACCTTGTCTCTTGACGAGGAATAGTCATGAAGTTCGTGTGATATTCCCAGTAGGAAAAGAGCAACGAGAGAGGAAGCAAGAGGACTTAACCCCGAAGTTCTTATGGTAGAAGTTGAATTAATGAAGTCATCTCTAGGAACTAGTAGTGTGTTAACGTCACTAGCAGTAGATCAAGCTTAGAGAAAGGATCGCGAAGAGTTAGACAATTGATAAGTTCGAACATCGCATGGGATGGATTCCAAGCAAGCAAGGTAGAAGATTCTCTCAACCGCAGCCGACCGTACCTTAGTGTCAAGCTGATACTTTGCGTACGAAAATGCGAATTTCGTGAGAAAAGAAAAAAGATCGAGAAACCTTAACCTTAAGCCGTAAAATATCATTGAGGTTTTAAACGAGAAGCCAATAGGAAAGATTAAGACAATAGTACCTTTGTTCTAGTCGAGTTCCATAGGAGCCATAGAACCTTAGTTTGTGCCAGAAGAAGCTAGATCCGAGTTAAGATGCGCCAGATGGTAGTTGTTATGATATGCTGTAAAAGTTTGGCTTTACATATTAACAGTACCATTTTGATCTAGCAATCGTGTTTTAGTCAAAGAATTTATGTTTGCAGTTTATTTATTTATGCAATCATGACTCCATTATTTTACATTGTAGATAGTGTGGTTCGTCGTGTCAAACAGAAAGATCATGCTATCGGTTTCTTGGAAAATATAAACTAATTGTTCACAGTCTAGACAGACAGTGAGACCCCTGTAGGAAAAAGACTGTAGTATATTCTTGATTGAGTTGGTCATTGACTGATGGGTTACACTAGTATTTATGATAAGTATTGAACGGACCACAGAAGGATAAGATTATAAGATTTACTGATCGTAGTTATAATCTAAACCTTCAGCAATTGATGCATACTCTTAAATTGTAAGATTATATACAATTGGCATATATATTCATCACTTGTTTATTTGATTTAGCAAGGGTGATTCTTATTATATTAGGATGACATACTCAGTATTTTGGTAAATGAGAGTGTTTATATGATGTGTTGTTATAAACTATTTACGGTCACTATGTTCCAGTGCGCTGGGTTGATTACGTCCCCAAAATGAGCTTAGTAAGGAATATTATGTCAAACCCTGCAGGTGGATGATTATCCAATATAATGATTAATGAACTGAGTGGTACTAGTTTCAGAAATAAATATGAAGTCGATTTAATTTTATTGCCAGTAATTAAATTTCTCGACGGACGTTATATCTTAAACATAGGGAGATAAATACATCAATTAGATTAATATTTATTAATTAAGTGGAGGTTTGAATTTATTGAATAAATTGGAGCTAAATGAGGAGAGCCATAATATTACTCTAGTGGGATGTTTTATTATTTAATTCTATTTAGGAATTAGGAATTAATTATATTTCATAATTTAGATTCTTTTAGGAGAGGAATATTATTTCTAGAGTATTACCCTAGGATTACGAGACTATGGAGTCTTCTAGAAGGGTGATTAGGGTTAGGAGGAATAAGACTCCTAGATGGGAAAGGATATGGAACATAATTAGGATTCCTAAACCTAATGGGATAGACCCATATTTAGCATCTTCTTAAGGTCCCTAATGTAGGCTATAAACACACCATGTCGCAACCTCTTCCCTACACATTGAGAGGCACGATTTTGAGGTCTTCCAAGAGAGGAAAATCGAGCATCTTCATATATTCGAGAGTTCGGGAGGTTCGATTAATAGCACCACCAAGATTAGTCGAAATAGGTGTTTAGGTAATACATTAGAAGGCTTTAAGGTACAATTTATTCTAGCCTTTTAATTGTATAAGAATCTGCCACCCTCGTACACCGTCCGCCGTCGTTGACCACCAGCGGGGCCACCACCCCACCGCCGCGAGCCACCACTAGAAGCTGCTCGCGCCCTGTCCTAGTGACGACCGCCAGTACGCGCACAGCCCCAGGGCCATTTACACGCCGCGCACCACCGCCCGTGACTTTCACGCTTCGATTCGCAGCGCGAGAGCACGTGCGTCCCATGCTCGCACGCTTAAGAAACGTGCAGCGCACGCCCGCATCTCGATCACCCGCGCGTGAGCAGCGCCTGCCTGCGCCTGCCGCCTGTGTTTCAGTCCGCGCAGGAGTAGGTCTTCTGCGACCGCACGCGACCGAGGATCCCGCGCGCTGTCTTCGTCCGTCTGCCTGTCCGCGTGAACGAGCCAGTGCTCGATGCACCCCATCCGTGACCAACCCGACCTGCCAGACGCCCAACCGCGATCCGCAGTGACCTGACTGAGCACAACCCAGTTTGACCGACCTGATTTCGACTAGCCCTTGATCCAGTGAACCGTTCGTGACCCGACGACCCGATTCCGATTAAGGAGGCCAAGTTCGGCTGCCCAACAGACTCTGCGGTTCAGACGATCTCCTACAGAGAAAATCAGAAACGTCTCAGAGTCGGCATAAATTTTTTACTATAATTTCGTAACCCTAACTTAGATTCTACTGCGTTAGGGTTTATTTCTATAGATTCGAATGTGCACATCGTGGATGTTCCAAATAGAACCCAACAGTAGTAGGAACTGAACACCGCAAGTGCAGCAAAGCTACTAGCACGAGACGTGGATGCAACTGTGTACGTGACTACAGACTACATAGACGTAGCTGGTACATCGCACGGTGGTGCTGCATGCAGGTGCACCGCGCCCGATGGCCCAGGTAGCTGGTGTGTGGCATTGCAGCGCACCGCGTGTAAAGTGCCGCGTCATCTTATGCCGGGTCACAACTAGTCTATTGAGGTCGGTTAGGATCTCGTTATGCACAAGTCACGAATTCAATAACAACAATAAACCTATGTGCAACGGATCTAGAGGTTTAGAGTTAAACACTTACGGCTTAACATTCGCAGACTCTGAGACGTTGTAGATTACCGTTGAAAGAAATCGTCTGATCTCAAATTCAGTTGGGCAGCCGGATCCTTCTCGTCGGACTCGAGAAGCTCACGGGAGCGGTGGCTGGGAGCAGCACGTGCGGTTCGCAGGATCGCCGGAGGTGCGCGGGTGGCAGACGGCGTCGTAGTTGGGTTCTGTTAGGAACGTGAATGTTGTGCTCATTCAAATCTATTGAAATAAACCCTACCACAATAGAATCTATAGTTAGGTCAGGACATTACCGTTTAAATTTTTTGCCGACTCTGAGACATTTTTGGTTGCCTGAATAAACTAGTCTCGTACTATGGTTAGGGCTGCAAAACTATATCCTTTAAAACTTTTCGAATAGCCAATGAATAACCATCGGTTGTCCTAGGATTTTCTTTTCATGTGAATTACAAACTTTTACTTCTGCTTGACACCCCCAAACATGAAGATGCCTCAAACTAGGTTTTATACCCTTTCATAGTTCATAAGGTATTTTAAGAACTACTTTATTAGGAACCTTGTTTATCTAATATGCAACAGCCTTTAATGGATGCATCCACATAAAAAACTTCAATGTTGAAATACTCAGCATACTCCTAACCATATCCTTTTAAGTACAGTTTCTCCTCTCAACAACACCATTATGTTGAGGAGTCTCTGATATAGTAGCATACAAATATTTCAAATCTTTAGAAACTTTACAAATGGACTAGGACATTATTCTATTTCATTGAACTAACATAATATTCACCACTCTAATAAATCTCACAACTTTTACATATTTGTCTAACAAACATTCCCATCTCATCAATGTATATCTTTGGATAGTCCAATGATTGAGTCTTTTCATGTAGTAGATAAATATAACTATAACATGAGAAATTATTTATAAGAGTGATAAATAATTTATACCGCTCCACGAAGGGACATCGAACAGACCACAAAACTTAGTGTGAATAAGTTATAAGATTTTTAATGCTTCTATTGTCTGATCTCTTTAATATATGGCTAGTTTGCTTTTCTTTAATGCATTCTACACATACATCTTGATCATTAAAATCCAAATAAGAATTGGTTTCATGATTCACCATTCTCAGTAACTTTTCATCAGATATGTGACCTAATCTTTAATGCCATAAGAGAGTAGAATTTTAATTAGATACACTACGTTCAACCTGAAAATAAATATGAGATACATAAGTAGTTGCACAGAATCAAGGCACCAAATATTATCGGGAATCTTTAATAAATTTGATTCACAACATACGTAAATTTAATGTATATATTTCTTTTCAAATCAAGATTTTATTTCGGGCAATCTTTATGGGGTTGGCTAATTTTTAACATAAATAACACCTCATTTCTGTAATGATTAGACCTGCAAAAACTTGAAGTAAGCCAATCTCCTTTTATTTGCCTTTGTGTCCCATTTTATCTTAAGATATAACGCGAATCGACTCTTCTTTCATCTCCTTTATTCTCACCTAGTCCTGCACAAGCATAACCTTAATTTCTTTACAGTCCTATTTATTTTTAATGCTGTTATAGTTCACTTAGGATTGGCCAAACACAACAGGTATGGAGTTCATGATGAATAGAACCATAAAGTTTGTTACTTCCATTCACATGTTTGTAAGTTTAGATGATATGTTTGACATGTGGGTCACAAGATCATGGATGGAACAGAATCAGTCGATCTTTTATAATGGAGAGCACGTTCATGAAACTTCTCACTATAGACTTTTTCCGCAATTTAAATGGAGATAATTCCTTGATTTTATTTAGAAATTCTTTTGCATTGTCAGCCTTAATGTTGTCTGCCATGATTAACTTCATAAAATTCAAACACAACCTATTTGATCTCACATGCCCTACATAGAGTTACCTCTACTTCAGAGCTTTCATCAGTAATGGTTGTCGGAGCTTCAACAGTAGTTACAGCCATATCCAAATTCATTGCACCTAACTGAAAATGGATATGCTTAGGCCATTTACTGAAGTTCGGCCAATTGAATATTTTCAACTATAATACTTGACGAAAAACAAAATTTTTTAACGCTGGAAACTTTCATACATGATATTTAATTAAGATTTGAGAGAAAATTAATGGATTCATAAATCTTTTAAATTATATATTTAAATTTACCTTTGTGCAATACTTAAATATACGGTAAAATACGTGACGCCCCTCTGTGTTTAACGAAATGTGCGCGTTTTTACCCTGTGTTTTAAAAAATGCACCAAACCCCCTTATATTTAAGTAATTGTTGCACGGTTCCACCATTCTGTCCAACTTAACGGCGTGTGTAAGGCACCTTCTCCAGCTGCGAGAATTGTTCAATTTTTTTATTTTGCAGAATTATTGATTTACATTTATACCCTCCTGAATTTTATTGCAAAAGCTAAAATTATATTAAGTGTGGGAAGTAGGAATAGAACCGGAGTATGAAGGGTGGAAAATTCCTAACACAACCGGCGGGCTACACTAATGGTTGTGTAATTTAATGAACATAAATATAGTTATAATATGATACGGAAATGAATTAAATAAAATAAAAATAGAGTAAATGAAATAATATAAAGTATAATAGGCAAAGTTAATATAAATTAAATAATTAATATTAATAATAATAACTTGCAAGAAATTAGATTAATACAAAAATAATAGAGTAAGATAAAATTTGATATAGTAGCGTGATTTTTTTTTTCTTTTTTCCCAAAACGACAGAAATAACTATTATAAATCTCAAGCGAACATAGTTCGAATACATCCAGTACATACAGGCCTACAAATAAAACTGAGAGACACGCAAATTGCGGTCTAGAGCCTCAATAAGAGATCTAACTGGTGACCTAGATAGAAAACCAATAATTCGAAAACAGCAGAGAAAGGGAAATCAAAAGCGAAGACTCCCACCACTGCTATAAAGCCTAGTAAGGAGTACTCCACTAAACAAAACTAATCTAAAAAAAAAAAAGAACAACAGAAAAACCAAACTAATATCTAATCTGAGAGAAAACCAACCAATCTGCATGAACCAGTTTAATGAGAGAGTGCTCCGGGATTAAAGATTTTTGAAACATCCATAAATTTCTTGACTTCCAAAGCCACCAAAGCATGTATGTAGTGAGTTGAATTCTAGCTTCGGCAACTTCAGAATGGCCAAGAGAACAAATTTGGTACCACCACTCTTTAAAAGAGTCTGTATACCCAAGGATGCCATCCCATTGAACAGGGCTCAATTTCCAAATCTTGATTACTCTGCTGCAAGAGAAAAAAAGGTGCTCCATAGACTCAGCAGCTGCTCCACAGATAGAACATGTAGAATCAATGTCTACCCCTCTTTTTTTAGATGGACAGCAACTGGTAGGGTGCCTGAGATGCATTTCCACACAAAGTGTTTAATCTAGCCTACTATTCTCAAACTCCAGTGTCTGTATTTGATGGATTTCTTAGAAGCTGAAGAGGAGCTGCATTCTGGAAGGTCTGATTGCATAACCTTGATTGAGCACATGTGGCCATATGTACTAGAAACAGAGAAATGACCTCTCTTCTCTAAACTCCAGATTAGTCTGTCTTGCCTCCGGGGGTTCAATGTGGCAATATTTAGAATGGAAGAGCTACAATCTCATCAAAGACTTGCCTGACAAGCCAGTCATTCCATTGGGTGCCATTTTGCTGCAAAAGGTCTTTGACCCAAATCAAATGCCCTCTAGCAATTGGTATAAGAGAAGGAGAAGGTTTACAAAGGCCAGAGATCTAATTCAAGTCTGAGATTTTTGTATTAACTCCATTTCTAATTTCAATGTTCAAACATTTAGAAAATATTGGCAACACCTCCATCCAACAATTCCACATCCAGGACCCATTAGGAGTTTTAGAAGCATGGACAAGTGAAGAGGAAGGGGAAGTTCCTGTCCTTGAGAAGCCTGCTGACTAACAAGTCTGGGTTGGAGGCAATTCTCCAAAGTTGCTTACATATAAGTGCTTTGTTAAAAAGCTGAAGATCTTGGAAAGCAAGGCCACCAGAATCCTTTGGAAGAGTGAGGAAATTCCATTTTTTCCAGTGGATGCCTTGTGATTGGTCCATGCCTGACTTCCACCAAAATTTAGCACTCAATCTAGCAATTTCAGAGCAAATAGAAGCAGGAATAGTAAAGCAACTCATAGAGAACACAGACAATGCTTGAATCACTGCTTTAAGGAGGACTTCTTTACCAGCTGGGCTGAGTAACTTAGCTTTCCAAGATGTCAGTTTATTTCTAACCAATGTCAAGAGATAATCAAATACCTCCTTTTTGGATTTGCCAATACCAAGTGGAAGGCCGAGATACTTAGTGGATCTGTGAGAAGTGATACCATTCAAAGC